TTCAAACTGTTTGAGTCGAAATCCATGAAGTTCAACTCCATTGTTCATGTACGGCGCACTATGCTAAGCATTAGGAACATGCCTGCCATACCACAACTGAATACCTCGCGACGGTTCGCAGGTCCCAATCAATATGTGCGATAGGATTGAAGGACTTCTTGCCACTGAAAGATGGTTCATATTACAACTAATTGCGAATTTATGCATCCAAAACAATGAACTGGTTAACTATTCCAATACTCGACATGAACTGGTAAAATATTTATTATTCTTGCAATCAAAATGTGCGATAGAATTGAAGGACTCCTCGCCATTGAAATATGACTCATATTACAACTGGTTGCGAATTTATGCATCCAAAACAATGAACTGGTTAACTATTCCAATGTCCGACATGAACTGGTAAAATATTTAATATTCTTGCAATCAGCAACAAAAAAACTACTGAATTGATAGTGCCGGTATAAAATTAATCAATGAGTAATAGATATCCGCCACCACTTCATCGCCTAGTAACAGTGTTGGGGAAGCTCAAGTTATTAGTTCGACTTGAGTCACCATTCATCCGAGGCTCTGAGTGACTTGAGTTATCTAAATGGAAAGCCTCGAACTCATCAACGAACCACCAGCAAAGCCAATTCAGTGAGTGCCTGAGTTCAGCGCTCATCGATTTAAATACTCCTGCTCAGTACCTTCCCTTTCTCCTGATGAGTGACTTTCTTGAGTATCCGACAGCATTTCCAGTAATCGTTTATCAGCCTGATATTGAATCAAATTTTCATCATCAAATGATTGTTCTGCGGCACCATTTTCTAGAATAGAAATCATATTCAAAATTTTTAATTTGTCTAAAAAAAGACTATTCAGAGATAGAGGTATATAGATGTACAAAGAAAATCTAAAACCAAAAACATAATACAAAGTCAAAGTAGGGTCAGTATTAAATATGTAGTATAATATGAGTTCTTCAACATCATCTATTACATTCATATTTCATAAATATATCATGGAACAATACAAAAATAAGATAACTTAAAAAAGATTGAAGTAACATAAAAGATTTAGAGATTCAAAAGTGTTAGCCAAGAGAGTGACGTGCCATATTTAAATTTAAGACTCATTGGCAAGAAAAGAAGTCAAAATCTAGTAAATTTTTGTTTTAATTGGGAGTCAGTTGTTGATTCTCCCCAACCTCGCCAAAAATCAACATTAATCTCAATGACTAGCACTTCCAAATTTATTCTATTACTTCCGGAGTGAAGCAATAAGATAAAGACAAAACAAACTTAAATTTTATTATTTATCTCACCCTCTTTGGTAGATTCTGTCAACTTTTTTACAGCAGCATTTGTCATTGACAAAAGCTCTTTCACGGCATCTTCAATAGAAGAAGTCACACTTGCTGGTTTTTCAGACATTGGTCTCAATATCTACCGTAATTCACAAAGAAATTAACATAAAAATAGGACTAGGATGCACCAGATGTATTTTAACTACTGCAAAACAGAAAAGAATATATGTCATCATATCACTAAATTATAACAAAATGGGTTATGACCAGGTGTTGAAAATAGATATTCCTATTTTCCGTTGAAGTTCACTGTGTGAAATGCAGGTAATATTATGCGTAGACAGAGAGGGGCCTGCTGAACTGACTGCTATTTGCGACTGACTGCTGACTGTTAACTCCAATGCTGGTGCAATTCCTCCGAGTTCATAGCTCTGGCAAGAACTAACTAGTGCTCGTAATATTTATTCATATTATAATTTCCCTTTCGTTCACTGACTATCAATTACTTTTGTTCCAGGGCTTCCAAATTATCGGAACTATAAAGCTATCGTGCAAAATCAGTTTTCAATCCCGGAAAGTCGGCAAACGCGGTGGTTCCCCTTCCAAAATTTATTGAACCGTGATGATTGTAAATTTATATATAGCGGTTTGTCCCCAACCTTCGACCTTAAAGCTATTTTAGTATGATCACACTAATGTACACATGCATCGTTTTGTTAATATGTTGTTGTTATTGTTGATTTTATTTGCCCCGAATTTTTTTCAACGCATATTGCAGTTATTGATAATGCTGACAGAATGTAATCCATTGTCTATCCCTATCGCATTGATTTTCAACCTTTTTTTTACTACGGCACATTTCTCCTTTTTTAAATCCCTCATTACACCCTCCGTATATGTGAAAAAATTTGTTTGCGTTTCTTCTTCAATATTTAATGGATTTATAGCTATCAGTACTTTACACAGTTTGAATATCTCACAATGTGAGCATATATATCCATTACAATAGGTCATCCCAGGGAAGGTATTTCTCCGCGGCTGGGATACCCCAGGGATACCCTGGTCTACCGCATCGACAAATCGACGTTATGATTCGAAAAAAGTATAATAAAATGAAATCTTTCTTACATCTATTCGTATTGAGTGGAATGTTGAGTATTGGAATGTGGTCCATGTATTCATGATAGTGTCAAAGCAAGCTGTTGGTCTGGGTGATCGAGCCAAGGTTGTAGCTATCCCAAAGTTGGTGAGTGGTGGGGTCAATTTTTCCAATACGACATTTATTGGCGCCTTTCGCTCTGAGCATAATCAGGTACAAGCAGTCATCTAAGTCAATCTAAAAAAAGCGCTTAGCTAGTTTCCTAGCGAAGCTATTGATGACATGAACCCAGTGCTCAAATCCATGTACAACAAGAGTCCAATGACTGCCCGCAGTACCTGTAGTCCGTTATCTGATTAGAGCACTTTACTCACAATCGATGTTCCACGACGACGCCTCATGAACTCACGGATACGTCCACGTTAAAAAGTAAGGATAAACGCAGCTAACCATATATATCAAACACTCAACACGCTGATATTCGTTATTTCGATGGTTAAGGAAGTAAGCAAAATTTGTACTCGTTAATGACTGATTATTGGGCAAGAAATGAACCTATGGATTGTTTTTGGACATGTAGTCGACATAACGATCGTTTCAATATTATGCTGTTGTTCTTCTTGTTCTTTGACACGTTTTGAAAAAATCGATTTTCTCTTTGATTACTGGACCAATTGCTCTGAAATTTTTAGTGAGTGAAGATTATATTTTTTGCTAGAGGGCTATTACTTTTATTTTTTGATATGACGTCATCAAAATTATGTGGTGTCACTTGTCGATATATTTGAGCATAGCTCTCTTTTTTAATATATTGTTGTCGTGAAAAAATCGCTTTTCTCTTTAACCACATTGCTTTTTCAGTGGTTAAAGTTTGTTGTTTCCACTAAAAGCATATTATTTTAATCCACTTCGACGTTTTGTATGATGACTTCATCAATATATATTAAGAAACGCATGATGTGGTTCCGTGATCACATCTCAGTGACCTGGTGGTCATACAACCAGTACTGTGAACGATTCGATACTATTTCGTTTTGGCCTCCGTGTCCATATATTGAACTTTAAAGAACCGCTCTCTTGGTATGGTACAGTGATTAATATTGAAATTCTACTAAGCCATGGCCAGCAATAATTAGTTAGTTACTCATTAGTAGTTTGTTGATGATTAGTTGTTTTTCCGTTTGTTGATTACAAAATAAAAAACGTTATGGATTAGTGACGGATATGAATTTTTCTGACATGAGCGAGCGGTTAAAATATGCCTAATTTATATACAGATTAGATTTAAGTAATATCTAATCCCACTGACTCGTTTGTTGACAGTTTAATGACAATCGGTCAATTTTCAGGTATTTGTCAATTTCGTCGCACTCTTTAAATATTTACCGCGTCCCCAACACGGCTTAGCCTTTCAAGATAAAAAGCGGCAGTTTACAGCAATTGGCAATTCACCAATTGAGTATTTTCTGCAATTAATAAACAAAAAAAGTCATTTTTACTTTTTAATATCTGAAGGTGTGTATTTGTTCCACATCTGAGGTGAGATTATTATCAAAGTTACACCCTCTGTGTTTAAATATTTTCAATGCTTTATAGTCCATCCGGGATTAAGCCTTCATATGTTTGAATACCTTTTCTGGTCTGGCTATATTTGATGACGGATTACAGATGGTAGGGATTTATGGCTGATGCTGGTTGTGTTCAAACATGAATTCATAAGTTACGCTTGGTGCAAATACAATGTAATCTTCATCAAATAAGATGATTTGTCCTTAAAGAAGATCAATTGGTTTTGAATAAGTAATGATATGTTTTGTGCTATCCTCAAATTGACCTTAAAACTTGTTAAAGGAGGCTTAATCCTGTAATACACACGATGTTGCACACATAGGTTGAATCTTTTTTACTTTAATTCGATAAAGGGTGGTTGAGTGTAATGAGAAAGAAACCTGAATTTGCTTTAAATTCCATTCGTTTATCAATGCGTCCTCTCTGCAGATTACAGATTAGGGGTAAAACCAGTCCATCCGTCTGTTACTTGTTTTATGAAATTACTTCGCATCCTCACTTAGAATATGACTTTAGATTGGCGCCATCGTTACGTTACAATCATAAATTGATTAATTCAAGAATAAAATTTTCGCTCATAGGAATTCGGTATTAGGCTGAACATTGCAAGAAATTGCTACCGAAATAAATTATAGTGAAACACGCCAACAATATATGTAATATCTCGTTGATAAGAATAATATCCATCCAATCGTATATGTAAATAGTAAAGATTATTTTCTAATAACTTTCCTGATGAACTTTTCAGTTGCGACGTTGACTAAAATATACCGTTTTTAATATGCATACTTCACTATATTCCAACTATCTTCTTGCGGTTCATGTCTTTAAATCATAACAAAATTTATGCATCCAACAACTGTGCGGTAGAAGAGCCAGTTCCAAAATACTTAAATTTCAACTATTCATAAAAACCTCTACATCTTTACATCACTGGTGAAGTGGCAGTCTTTATAAAGTATCTGAGATCTCGAGCGAAGCAGAATCGCTTGTGCTTAACCCCCAAACCACTCTAGAAACCTCACAAACACGGTAATTGACTTTTATAATATATTTTATTGGCACTTTATTAAAGAATAAGGAATAATAACAAAATGAGATATTTGATCACATATGCAAAAATAAAATAACACTAACCAACAACAGACACAACGAAAAAATACATAAATCATAATCGGCAGTAGGCGCGGAATCAAAATAATATTATTTATTTCAACAGCAATATTTATGAGAGAGTTAATAGCAGCATAATATCTCCAGAATTTTATTTTGCTAAATGAATGAATGTAAATTTTAAATACGCAATTATTCATAAAATGACCTAATAATGATTTTAGGTAACTGCGTAAAAGTCAGAAAAATATAGTATTACAATACGATATATATCGAGTCCTTAATTAACACTTCTACGCTAATTGGTGACAATGTGTTCTACCAGTATTTTAGAGAAGAACGTGCGAAACTGGTAAGGAATAAGTAATGCAAGATATATTCTGTATATATTAAGAACTTCAGTCCAGTTGTATGTTATCTTTTTATTTCCTCATCCTGATGTGAGGTGTATTTGTGCCTGTTTGATTATCTCGGTGATTATACCTCTTGTAAAATCGCATACATACCCACTAGTATTGAAGTAACCACTATTCTGCAACATTTTGGCACGAACTTAAAAACATATAAATGGATTAGCAATAATATACACTTAAATAAAAGGGCAAAGGTACTATTTATTATCAATGGCGTTTATTTTATTTCTAAGCATTGCGCCAATCTAAATTATTAAGCAAAAGGATTAGTTTTACATTGTACACCTAAATCAAAGTAATGAATATGGTATAAACATCTAACAGTGGAGCAAACAGTATATATGACAATAATTGTTTGCGAATCCGGTTGTTGGTAGCGACGCAACATCATATGGAAGTTCATATTACGATGAAAAAAATTGGAAGACAAAAAAGTATGAACTATAATTTTTTCAATTATTTTATACATATATCTGAGTTCTGCATATGAACTAAAATTTTACTTGAAAAGATAAAAAAATAAAAATGTTTCACACTTTTAGCAGGCGGACACCATGTTTTGTAGTTGAACGAGTGAAACACATCCTAAGTATCATTCAGGCCAACATAACGCGCATTATTTATTGCTTTCTTAGGTAATGGATCACGGATAACATCCTATTGAATAATGACAGCTATAATAGCGAATAACGTCTGGTTGGTGTCAGTTAATTTGTCGTCAAATGTGGTATTAGTGATCGAGTGTAATTTGCTTCGTCTCTTGCCTTGAGGCGACATTTATTTCGTTGTAAATAACTTTCCGAATTTGGGTTATATTGCAGTTTACCATAAAGCCATATGTGAATATATGTTTTTGAACTGTTTTTAACTGCCGCGGAATTAAATTTTGCAAACAAAACTTTTTTTGAAGAAATAACGATGTCTTGTCTAAATTTATCAAGATGAGTTTCATTTCGAATCCTCTTGCATAAACCTAATTATATTATATGTAATCTCATATCCTACAATTTTTTTTTATCACTTCTGACGTTTAATTTTCACAAAACTTAAACCTGATCTGTGTACGCACTGAAACAACGTTATTCGATTATTCGGATACAATGCATTTCACGTCCGACCGTATTGACCAATCCAAAATTTAAGTATCTGAGTTGGTTTTTTAAAACTTTTAACTGGAAGGTATTTTAAGCTACGAATAAATAATCCATATTAACTATCGCTGTGTATATTCATCTGAAGCATAGGCGATCATTATTTCGGAACATTTGGCTGATAGCATGAAGCAACGACTGGATTTTTTCTTTGTTGCATCTGGCAACTCCTTTCTTGTCTCTCGACATTTCTCCTTATTCCATCATTCCATTTGGGTTGTTGCAAATGTAATCCGTTGTTTTCTTGCAACTTTGTCGAATTTCGTTGAATTAACACGTTGCACTATTGAGCCGCTGCAGCATCATTTTGGAAAATACTTCAAACTCCTGAAAATATATAAGTAACGGTTATAAAATGTGTTTCCAGTTTACATATTAAATTATTTTGGCAAATTACTTTATGAACCATATTGCGAAATGGAAAGTTTCAAAATGGTCGTTTTGACGATTAGAGCAAATCAGTAAGATGTCAGTCCTCAATATACTAGTTCCAAAGGCATATGAGGTTTTATGCATAGAATGTAATTTGGAGTAAAGACCCAAAGCAAATAATAACAAACTATTTTCAGTGAGAAAAGTTTGCGTCAAAGACTTGGTGTTTCTTAACCACGTACCACACATGGGAAACAGTGAAAAGCCGTAAAAACCTTTCAAAAACGTTCGAAAATCGTGAAGCGCATAGGATTAATGTGAAGTAAGGGTCCTTACCTCGATTTCAGCTAGTACGTCTGGTCTGATGTCGTTTGATTTCTTCCCTAAACTTTCATCGCTTGACGAAGTTCGTTGCCTGCACATTCCATCCGTGTCTAGGTCACTATAGGAAGAGGTTGATAAACTTCGAAAATCGTCACTAAGAACACCTTCAATGCTCATAATCTCATCGGCGTCTGACGAACAAGAAGAAGACTTGCTTACTGGGATACTACGACAAGACCTGAAACATTCAGTCTCGTCGTGAGAACTTATACAGTCAATTCTGCTCGTGTCATCGGCATCAATAGATTCAACGCTTCCAGTATCGGTTATTTTGTGCCTTGGAGTGGAAGAGATCGCCATAATTCCGCTTGTTTGCGAATCCAGATCGCTACAAGAGTTTGAGAGCCCTGATGACGTGGAAGACGAATCAGACTCACAAATTGTGGAAGCTTCATCTATGGAAGTAAGATGGTCATGTGCAAACGAAATAGGAGTGTTTGAAGACATAATACGTCTTGTTACTCTACGTCCTCGCTCTTGTCGATGTTGGTAACGCCGCTGGGAAGGGTTGCTTCGTTTGACGATATCGATACATTCTTGCTGGTCTAAAACCATGATCTCGAGGTCCCGTTTTTGATTGATGTTGTCAGCAAGGTCCTGAACATAATAGTTGGTTGGAAATTTTTTTATCGCAATCAAGGAAAAAGAAGCATTATAGTTTTACTGAGATCAATCATATGACGATGACCACCCGAAAATAGAACCCATAAATAGTATCCGTAATCTAGGATGCTTTGCACAAAAGTTATGTTCTCTCTAGAATATGTTCCAAATGTCCCAGATTCTATTGTTGGAGTCACCCTTATTAGGTTTTCTCAATTTATAAGAGTAATCAATGACAGAGATATGATCTTTACGCATATGTGTTGATATTTGTAGCGGGAACGTTTGTATTATTACGTTTCAAAATCCTATGAATCCCTACCTCTTTGTTTACGTGCTGTTCCCGAATTTCCTGGTCGATTTCGGCAAGTTCCGATTGTAAAAGTGCCAACCTCGCTTCCATACTTTGAATAACATATCTATTTGCACTTCTCGATCGTCTCGCTTTTGGTTTCGTTTCCCGAGATAATTGATCTATTTTGAGCTGGACGGAATTTCTTCTCCTGTTAAATAAATAAATACACAAATGAGGATATAATTTATCAAGACAGTGGTCAGATATATGATAGAAAATCACGAATCAAAATGAGAGTACGACGTAATCAATGTCACTTTTTTTTTTTAATTTTTGCGAATGTAAAATGAACAGCGGTTAATGAATAAACAATGACTTCGAATTATTACGATTATCAAAAAAGATTAGACAAGAATCAGGAACTAAAGTTTGAACATTATTGTTAACATCGCGCGGTATCAATGAATGAGATCTCGGTATGATTAATAGTGTCACGTATTTTGTTGACGGGACAATTTTCAGCATACAGATTCCTATCTGCAGAAAAAATATCCGGAAAATGAGAGATACCAAAAAAAAATCTGTTTTAAATTATGGTACTATCAAAACATCTTTGCCTAAAGCTATAATTCATACTTGATTTCGCACGAAGATAGCACTAGTTTGGAGAAAATTGGAGTTTCGGTCCAATATTGGAACGCTTAATTCGATCAGAAATAGGTTAGATATATTACTGAAAATCGAGACTTATGTAACACAATAAAATATAATAAAATTAAACGAATGAACTTGAATTTGACCGGACTACATCTCACTGGTAGTGTCAAATCATAGTAGATAAAAATGTTAAAACCCTTCTTAATTTTGTTCTGAGTTCAAGGAGTTTCTGAGACTGAATTGCATGTAGTGCCAGCATTTTGGTACGTAGTGTTTGTACCAGGTTAGGCCATAATTTTATTCCAATTTTCCCTATTTTAGTTATATTACGAATTCGGGGACTGTCTGTGTTAGACAACCAAGAGCAATAAAACAATCTTCCTTACGTGTGAAGTTGTGTTAACGATTTTAAAATTTCCATTTGTTGATTTTCTTTCACTTTTTCGTATTTTTCCATCACCTCATCTCGAGATGGTATAGGACTATTTGCCCCTCTGACTAAAGGAACGTAGTATGGGCGATTCTGTAATATATATCAATTCTATATTAGATAATCGCACATAAACCATATTTCATAGTACAACATAAGGGTAAAATTTTTGTTAGTGCTTATTACGTTTTTTAAAATACCCACATATTACCATAAAATACTAGAAATTAAAATAAAATAAAAATACATCGTAAATTTTAGATTTTAACACTAATGTAATGTCGCCTAAGATACAAGACGGTGGCTATTTGCCAATGTTTATTTTCAAAATATTTAATTTCGAAAAATCCGATTATCAAAAATAACAAGTTGAAAAATATTTCGAAACATGAGTGAATCGAATATGGTGAATCCTAGTAATTTTCCAGAGTTCCTGGAAATATTTAAAACGCACCTGTTTTGGCGTAGGTATCATGCTGTTTCGTTCTTTTATAATTTCTTTTTGTTGTTCTAAGACCTCTCTTAGAAGATTTTCCTTTTGTAACTCAAGATCTAAGTGTTCCCGACGAGTCATTCGGAAAATATTCTAGAAAATAAAGTTATGTTGCATTAAAACACAATTCTGCCCAATTTCATTCCACACGCACAAATACGCATTTTTGCGCATGGGAAATTTTGTAAAAATAGGATTAAACATAATCCGAAAATGAATTCTACTCACATCTGCAGTGTGCCTTCTCGACAGCATTGATTTATTATTATGATTGCTGAGAGTATTAGGAGGAGGCGGCGTTGCCATCGATGGTGACATTTGAGGCGAAGACGGGTAAATCGACGATTGAGCTCTTGTGAGTACTTTAGCACAACTTTTCACGTTGTTCATGAGAATTTCATTATCGCTGTGAAGATAAACAAGTAAAGTGAATCTTTGCTTAAACATCATACACATTAAGATGCACAGTGTCATGCTACACACAATTATTAGTGGTCGATTCCTACTAACTGTTGTTTTCGGACCAGAGTGAATCATAACCAATGTATCCATTATATCATTATTTAAAACTAGGTTCATATTAACCGTATATCCTACGCTTTGATGACGCCATCACAAACAACAATATTTTCGGCGATAAGTATGTAAATTCAACTGGCCTATGTAAGAAGCCGACCACATTTGGAAATGATTTGAAAAAAAAAACTTGAAAGTTGCAAACGAATGTCACTACTTTTGTAAAACACAAACCAAAAAGTTCACTTAAGGCACCCACCACCGATACCACTATAAAGTTAAGCCGCATTGGAATTTTGATCCTGAAAGCAAGTACGCTGTCGTTCGTGCTAGTTGACATTAAGCGTAACGCGCAATGTATACAACAAACCACTCCACAAAATTTTGTACCAACAAGCTTAAAATTGAAGATTCTAACCACCGAGTTTTTATCAAACATCATAATAAAATTCAAGCAATGGTGAACCATGAACGATTGTCATAATGCGATCGAAACTTCAATAGCGAATTAAATTAATCTATACCCCATAGGGTTTTATACTAAAGAGCTATATTTTGAATGTCAAAATCACGTAACAGATACACTGTCGAGATAAAAGTAAGCCACCGATATTGCTTAAATCAAACACACTTTGCCGCAGTATTGTCACAAAACGCCATCCTTTGAACGCTGTGTATTTGTGTTTTTGGCACTCTCTTCAGCTTTGGATATGCATGAAACGTACCGGCACTTACGGTGCAAACTCGATTTTTGATTCTATGTTACCGGGAGTACCAAATTAACTTTAAATTCTAAGGTTTCTTCTAAGTTTGGTATTGTCGCAGACTAATACGGTAATAAAGTACGAGTTTGTGTCTTTGAGGTTTCACAAAAATTCAAAGACGCAAGTGACAATTAAAGACTAATTGGCAGCTTTTACATCTTTTTTTTTCAATTAACAATAAAAAATAATTCCTAGGAATTTGAAAGCACTTTCGTTGACCAAGTTGTTTTAGAACTATTCATGTGCAAGTTAAAACAGCTTCAACTTGAAAAATAATTACCTCATTGCTGGATCGGCATCGCTTGATTCCTTATTTATCATACAAATCCATTGCATAAATCCTTGATGATTGTCACAACGAAAATGGTAAGTAGGTCCTCCCTTCAAAATGAATTTTATATTTTTTAAAATGTGAATTTAAAAACGAATTTTACTACGAAAAAAATCAAAATATATGTCTTACTTTCTGTTCAAGTTTGAAGGTAAATTTTGCTCGTTGAACGTCAGATATATCAGCTGAAACTACGTATCCACGAAGTACAACTACATCCTGTGTGAATTCGGATTGTGGAGAGTTGTAACAATACAGACATGAGTTTTGCAGTACACACCAGAATCTAAACAGAGAAATTGTTAAAATACTTGAGTGACATATTTTCTATTGTTCAGCACAAAATGCTATTTTGCGAAGTGCTTTGTATTTCTCCTTCTGATAATAATGAAAAATAAAAAAAAACTTTACAAAATAACTACAATCTAAATGTAAATTCAAATATATTCTAACAGCATTGGTTCTGATTTTATAACGTTTGGACCAGTGAAGAATGATTTCTAATGTAAGGCATCCGATGATATATTATGAACACAAACTGAAATTGTATCTACTTGAGTACCCGACTAGTCAAACCAGCATTGCTCGCTTGCATTTCTGCTATATTTAGATCCTTTTGTAATGCTGTGTACCGGTCATGGGATAGCACTTGCTTCGTGGACACGCGCTGTTGGACTCGCAACGCAAGGTAACTTACTGAACGAACGATGTTTGGTAATCTGACTACTTATCTGAAATTACCACTTAAATATTGTAACCATATTTTACAATGAAACAGTTTGCGATTTCTTTAAATACTAGCAATATAGTCATTATTAATGCATTACAAGTCTCTACTATAATAGGTCAAAGCTTTTAAATATTTAACAGAAATATCGCGACAAATTTGTGACATTTAAGCTCTTGTTTCCTGTAATGGTTGGGATAATTTCCAAACCAGTTAAAGTTTTCTAAAAATCACACTGCCAATATTATTGATGTTTATATATTTCCATGTAATTTGTGATCGTTAAAATTTTGATACAAATTGAACTGTACGTGTATGAGTAAATCACAAAATTTGAATTTTGTAATACTCCCGACCGACACCGTGTCAGTCAGAAAATATGTAAATTATCCCAGTCATTATAAGCAGGGTTAAAAAATTTCTAAGGCTACGTTATAAGCCGACTATCCTCTTAGTTTTACTCAGGGTGAAAGTGTAAACGATCAAATATCGCATACTATTTCAAACAATGCATGCTAGTTAGTCACCGTACAAATGAACCATGCAAAAGTGGGAACAATTTTGGTGATTCATTTTCCTACTACCATGAAAGGGGTCATCTTACATCGAAAAATACTAATCGTATAATAAATTGGACAGAGTTCTTAATCACGTGGGATAACTCCCAGGGTCGTTTGACCTGTGTAGTATTCAGCAATGAAAATGTATGAATAAGAATGTGGCAACCACATTCCAAGGGTAAGTTTTCATCGAGCGTGACATACCTCTGCGGTGACGACACCAACTAATAGATTCTTGCGGTATGTTATACGTTGGCGGTCGAATTGGTATAATCGTATAGTGTGCAAGACACTGAAACTTGATCAAGTTTGTGTGATAGGAAAACGTTATTTTCTATGGTCGAAGTATAATATTGTAACTACTTTATACATTCAAAATAAACTCGTTAAAATGTCGTAAAATCACACTCCAGTGCTTCGCGTTCAACGTGCCTTCAGTTTTGGTGTCTAACCTAACGGATGCAAAAGGTATAATTTAGCGACTCAGTGAACATAAATAGCTAATTTCGGAAATTAAACGTTACTTTGAATGGTGGTTTTATAAAATCTCACGGTCTATTCTTCTAGAATTTTGTAATATCCTATACGGAGAAATTTCTAATGCTTTACCCTTACGTAATCGAATACAACAATCGAGTATTCAATTACGATATATGTTTGCAAATATATCGCATTTTAGCGTAAACACATCTCAATAACTAGGTCCAATGCGAATATGCCCTTCGTGTCTGTAAATATAGAATTTACAAATTCGCCCGAAATCTTTTGTAATCCATTTTTCTTTAATGTATTTTTATTATTATTGACCATATTTTAATTCAAGACGTAAATGGCAATAAAAGCTCTCATTTTTTAACAATGGAAGAACTTTACCGCCATACAATCAAAGACCGGTTAATAATATTTTTCTGCTTCAGATATCATAAGATATTTCAAGATGGACGATGAGTAGCAATATTGTAGTATTGCTTTAACCCTTTTTTTCCGCTGTATACAATCGACTTTATGTACCATTTTATAATATGCAATGACCAGTTAACCAAACGTACAAGGAACACCCCCAATATCTCTTTAAAAAGCTTATTTTCGCGTCTTCCTACTAAAACGCGCCCAAATGACGTAGGCGAAACTGTTCGACCCTACGCGTGTAAGAAGCGAGAAATTTCAAAAAATTTGAGAGAAGTTTCACACTCTTATCGCTTCGATGAACACGTGTTACAAAGAAACGAAATTCCAAGCGCTCTTCTGAAAGAGGGTTACGTCACCTTTGCAGAAAAACCAGACTCAGCTTCGCAAGCGAAGCGAAACGCGAAATAATCAATGATATGTGAGAGCATGTCCACGATAGTTGTCTGGAATCTTTGTTTGTTTATTATGTGCGCGAATTGTTTCCCGCTCGTTCAAATGACTTATTTTGAAGTAATGACAAATACTTTCATGTAATCTCTAAGCTTTGAAATGCCTACACAAATAAAATTCACTTAGTAGTAAAATAAAAAATTTACAAAAAAACAAAATGTTGACAGATCAAGCACGGATCATAGTTGGATGCTCAAAATGATTTAGTTAGTGCGGAATACTTCACAAAACATGAACATAAACGTAAAATAGTCCGAAAATAACTATTATGACCAAGGATGGTAATACGAATATATAAGTTATACGGAACAAAAGAGTTAAAATTGGTACGATATTCACTGTCATTTTGAAGGTTTCCTAATTCGTTAAAGGCATGTAAATATTAATCATAGGAGACAAACAATATCACACAATTTGAAGATGATTTGACTGCGGTTTTCAGCAGTATTTATCGGCGTATTCGTCCGACCATCTTGAATCTTGTGACTACTTCACATAGTCAGTTTGATCTTATGGTAAATACTGCGTTTGCTTTTTTATAAATATGCTATTAAGAAATTTGAAAAGAATTTATTTTGGAACACAAATTTAATCTACTTTTTCTGAAGAATTTAATTTATCTTATGCTTTGAATATTTAAGGTATTCCATAAAAAAAGTATCATACTTCATGCTAATGATAGCAGAATAGCTAAGCTTCAAACATATAAACATAGATGACCTGATAACTTATGAAAACAGTGAAATCATTGAGAGCATACTTCTAACGACGTTTCCATATATATGTATGCATAAGGCAACGCTTTGTATTGAGACCTATGTCGTATCCAAACTGGGCATTGGAAACATTATAGAGGGTGTATAAAGGGAGTGTGTAAGAATGTACAAATCCGGCTTTCGGTTTTAATATATTTTTGTGCATTATCAATATTAAATTGTATTTTTAAATATATGCCTCAACTGTGGCATCTCAGTAACTACCGAGGTATTAAGCATTACTTAAATTTATGCCTATATTTAAACGAATAGTAAAAACAAATCAATATATTCAGTTTTGATTAGACATACATACCACATTCTTGTCTTGGGTAATGTACTTAATTTATTATAAGTATGTCCAGGGCTACAGGCGCCGTGTGGTCTTATTTGTCTCCAATTCTCTCATGTAAATAATTTGACCACTTATTTAAACCTTGTAATTAGACAAAGACAAACATTTCTTTGTTTTTCTTTTTAATTAGACAGGACAAATCAAGAGAGGAATGTAGACACAAAAGATTTTTTTTTATTTATTTTGTTTTTAATTTAAAAAGTTCAAACTAAATAAATTTGGCGCCACTTCTTGTTGTTAATTTCTTCTAAATACCAGCATTACATCATTTTATGTTTTTGTGAGGCTAAATTTCAACGAAAATAATAAACAGTACATCATAAGGCTAAAGTATCTACTGTAGATAAATTAAACTTAATTTCAAACGCCAGGAGGTAATTTTAAAGTAGTGCTTCTGAGAGATCACAATTCAAATTTATGGTTCCATCGTCATACAGACCACAAAAACATCGCCAAACCATAATTTACAAATTAATAGCAATAAAAAATACAACAAGTAGTTTTATGCGCAAAACAAATTGCCCATAAGAAGTAAAATTGACATAATTAACGATACGATACTTTCATACCACGGTTATGTATGATCTATTTACTTAGTCCATTCCAGTTCTATCAGAACTTTTCTATTTTCTAAAATACTACCGAGTATAAATATGATCAAAGTTCTAATTAATATTAATGTTTGGATAAGAAAAACCACAATAGAATATATTCAAATAGACCACAATACCGTAATTGACAACGAAAGCGTGATACCGCAATATAACCGCGTGGAATGAAACTTTAACTAATTTTTAGTAATTTAAATCAAGGAAAATTAGTTGAATTGTAGTTATGACTTTGCATTTTAGTGGAACAGGTGGCAACGATTATTTGAAGGTATAGTTTCTATAATTTGGAAAAATACAGAACAATGAATAATTAATTACAATTACTATTAATTATAAATTTTCTGCTATGACGTCGTTGTCTCTTTTATATTTTCCAAAAACAAGTCAATTTCATTGGACTTGAAATTTCGGTTGGGGGTGTCTATATCTTAAACAGCAACATTCTGAGCACATATGATACCCCCGAAAGTTATATTTTCGATTATATATTTACTGAGGTACTCCCGTCGTATGTGTACCAGGTCAGGGTTAGGCCATAATTTGATTCCAATTTTCCTATTTTAGTTCTATTATGAGTTCGGGGATTGTCTGTGTTAGCCAAGTGAATATACCCCCTGCCCATAGGCTTCAGTCGCTTTACACAACTTGATGTAAAGTAGGCGAACAAAATTAGTTACCTCTATATTCGTACACATACGTCTGGAGCGTCTTTCCTGAAGGTCATTCTTGCGTCAGTATTGATTTTAAATTCAGTAATTTTATATTTGTATACGCCGCAATATGTTTATTTCTCTCATTTACTATTTACAATCTAGAGCATTTTGAGAAAATGTCATGTAAAATTAATCAACTACCAAATTAAAAACTAGTCAATGAGATCGACGTCATCCTTTGAAATGGTGGGCGCAGATGTCAGTACGGGCCAACAGCAAATATATTCCTTTGCAAAAATCAATATGTTGATAAAGTAAGGTTATTTATTTACAATTTTGATAGCCTTGTATAGGCACGCCTATAAGGAAGGGTTTAATGGCTGCATATACGCTCGCCTTACGCTAAAATCCGTCAGGTTTAATTTAATATAATTTCTTCAAACAGGTTGTTGGACTACTGTACAAATATTTATTGACAAGCATTCTTGAACTCATTAGATTGAGAAACGTTCAATTCTAGTACGGACGAATCAAAGCTTGATGTCTAGTAACTTGTATATTATTACATGGCAAACACACACCATTAGAAGATTTGCCTCCACAGTAATACAAAGCGAAACGACAGAGAGACTTTTACTTGTATTTACTTACTTTTCCCATTTTCTCTTTTTATTCCTTCGGTCAAGGTACCCGCTTTGTGAGGCGTGTGATACACTGAGTGCTGGAATGCGGAATAGGGTTCGTTTCGGACTTTTACCTCTTAGCGAGGTGGAGGAAGGCGTCTTCGATCGACGGTTAATAGAAAATTGAGAATGCCAGGACGTTATGCGACCGCTTGGCTGCTGATTGTTGGAAGTGTGGTCATCGTCCTTTGTTGTTGCTTCTTCAGTACCTAATTAAAACAATATTTGTTGATTGATCATTAGAAAAGTTACAGTTTGTCTGGAATTATACAATAAATATATGTTTTTCCTCGGAGCAAACTTGTTTTGAGTATATACATACAACCACATACCTTCGCTTTTCGTTCGTCTGGTAACCGCTTTGTGTATATCCCCAGTAGAAGGAAATTTTTTCAAAGAGAATCGTCTCAGACGTCTGTTGGCCGGTCCTTTATATTGCACTTCCGTTTGGGCTGTAATAATCAGAGCGCGCGGTTAGGAATTGAAACTACTGTCGCGTCGTCTAATAAACTTCCCATTTGTTTTCAAGAGGCAATAAGGTTTAAACAAAACTCTAACTAATTTGATACTGTGGTTGTTGACAATTCCGCCAAAATACACTAACATCAAAACCCACAAAAATTTACCTCTTAGACTAGGTTGCTGTTGTTCGTCGTCAGTCGACATTTGGCTTTGCATGGACGGTAAAAATTCACTTGTACTATGTCTGTTTGTATTGTTGTTGTTATTATTATTGTTTTCATTATCGGAACTCATTCTATCGATCTGAACAAAATGTAAAATTAAAACGTTAGAAAATTTGAAGACGTATATGAGACTGAATATAATATTCTTTATAATTTATCGGGAAGCCGATTAGACATGGACCAGTCCAGTTCGAAGTAAAAGCTGAAATTGCATAAGGACCGGGTTGTTTTCGATCTCAAGCAGTTTTAAAGCAGTCGCCAATCCCCTTGACTTAATAAATGTTTGAAGAGCTATTCCCTCATTATAATAATTCTTAGTAGCCTTAGGTGACTATAAACCATACGTAAATGTCACAATTAAAGCATTTATTGTCGTATAGCACCTTCTTGCCCCTTCAATGCTCTTGTACTTGTGCCCGACGCAATACGTTCGTAAGGTCATGGGAGAGTGTTTTCATAAAGTGTCGCACAAATATAAACTCGACAACAACTACGCTTAGTAAGGATTGAATAACATTACCACTGACGTTTTTCATTTGAATTTTCCATTGAGGTGCAAACTATTCTACGTTAACTACATGCGTTCATATGAATGCATGCATACAAAAGAAAAGAAAGATATTAGATTATTTTTGTAACTCATATAAGGGAACTTTTTATTCTAAGATTGTCGGAGTCGGTAATTAGGTGGACTTTAATGAAATTTATAATTACGGAAAAATATAGCGTTCATTCAGTAAGTATTATTGTACAGCTTCCTTCTCAAGTCATGATCTGCTTAATTCGGATGCCTCAGCTAGTTATTTCTGGTAATCTTCGTCGATATAAGTCACGCGGATTTAATCATAAATCACGTAAATCAGGATACAAAGTTAAGTCTTATTCGCGTGACAACTCGGTAGTTCAGATCGTTATTTGGGTATATTATAAATTTTTCGTCGGCCGTGTTTGAGTAAATGAGGGAGCGTCTTCACGTCCCAGTACAAGTTTGCATGACATGATAGTTTGTACAAATATCCACATAAAACATCAATAACCTTTATTCATTCATTCACGGCATATTGCAAGAACTGTCATATTCTCAAATCAAATTATACAATATATCGTATGTTGATGACCTTAGGCAATATTATTCAGAACAAGTGGAAATTTCCTAAGTCTGTTATAAGAATATTTCTCATAAAACAGGATCGGTTGATGGGTCGAAACAACATCAGCGATGACAAATATTTAGGAGAACGTATGTTTCCCCATAGGTTATACAGTTCTTCAATGTTGAAAGCAACGGACTCTAATGAATAATTATGACGTAATAAGGTACAGTCGTGTTGGCTTCGTGATATTTTGCGACTCGGTAATCAAATTGTATTCGTAAGACTGTACAGTATTTATATATCTAGTGGATTCGGCTCACAAGCAAGAAGAATTACTACACTTTTCCGTTGGTGATTTTTCACCCTCGTTAATCGGTGAATATATTTTCCCATTGAAATGGTTGATACTTATACTAACTTCATTTTATGTGTATATACTTCCTGAGATAAAATGGGTTTTTATTTGAGTTAGTTTTCAGCGTGGGAATTTTGAATGTTACGTCTGTATTTTGCGGATATGGAAAATTTTCGCTATACTAACTGCAAAGCCGTTTATAATGCTTAACGGTAATTAACGATTTACTTAGCTACTTTACCTTCCGTAAGATTTGCGAAGAGAAGGTTTTACGTGATCCAGAGTATTACTATAACAACTTCATAAAATAAATTCGCATGGGAAAGTATGAGTTGCATTTTAAATTCAATTATCGTCTCTAACTGGAACTAACTCGACTTTAAACCGTTTCAATTCTCATTGAACTCGAATTGATTATTATAAAATTGATTGCATTAGTAGAATTGTATCAAATTAATGATGCGATTAAGTTGCTAAAACTTGGTATCGAATTTAGTAGTGAGACTTTTCTCAATGTGCGTTAAGTTACTCATATATTTGAACAGCAATAAAGGACTTTCAATGACTAACGACGCGCACCAAGAATCTCATACTTTGTTGCATGAAGCCGAACAATTTAACACTAGAAAAACTTGGTTAGATTATTTGATTCGATTCGGGGCATATACCAGTACATTCTCCTATATATATGCTTCACTTCGGAAATTTACGTTTATTATTGAATCAAATACATTTCTTTTGGTCTAGTTGCAAATGAAAACATTAGTAGTATTAATTCTATGTCTCCCGCATTGATACATTTTCCCAACACATAGGTGTGACTTTCACACTAAATGAAAATATAGTATTCAAATCTAATGAGAATCTAATTACTCAATTCATAAAAATTGCTCCGTCGTATTGTCATGACTTTTTACTTTAATTGGTTTGTTTCTACTTCGTTGCCTTGAATGATTAAGATACAACTTGCCGTCGGTTGAATCCATTCAAGATAATTTGCTCCGACAAAACGAGCGTCGTGTTTTAATTTGATACCAAATTGCAACACTTAAACATACTCATTCAACACGTATTACGATCATAAAAATTACACCAATTAATTTTTAATTGATGTACACGGAATTTCACTGTAAGAGTTTGAAGAAAATGAAGTATTTTCTCTGAGAGTTAATTACGAAATTCGACATAACCAGACTTTTTGCGATAGTAAATACTTTTCGTCACAACTACAAATTTATCTATACTCATAAAAGTATGTCATAGGAACGTAAGCATCGAGGAGAAATTTATATCGTTATACTAATACTAAAGTTATGTAGAATTTTGCAAAACGAAATTCAACACATTTATCGAAAAAAATTTCACATGGTTTAATTTCCAAAAAATGCAAATTCTAGCGCGAAGTCGATAGCAATAAGATACAGCTAGAATATACGTACAGGTGATTGAAAAGTAACTCCCTATTTTAAAATAAATACAATTTATTCAAATGCTATATCATGTTTCATGTTTCTAAATTTATGTGTATATATTACTTAATATATGGCAATTTAATTTATGTTCTTGTTTTCCTTTCAGATTTGTTTAAATATTGTTCAATTTCAATCTTTTCAAATTTATTTTATTTCAAAACCCTACAAAAATGGCTGGACGTCTTACTCTACAGGAACGTGCCCAGATAGCCGCGCGTTATGAAGTTTGGGGATGCATTGTTCAAGTGCAAAGATGGTGGAGAACTATTAAGGGAAAACATGCCCAAATTGACCCGAAGACGATCAAGAATTGTCATAAAAAACTTATGACCACAGGATCTGTGGCTGATACTCAAAGAAGCGGTCGTCCTTCCAAATCCAGAGATCCTGAGGTAGTGCAAGTTGTTAAAGAAATGTTTACCCGTAGCCCACATAAGTCAATTCGTCAAGCAACAAGAGAAAGTGGGCTCTCCTTTCATTGTGTACGTAATGTGCTAAAAAACGAGCTTAAATGGCGTGCTTGGAAGCCGCATTACTGTCAAGCACTCTCTGCAGAAGACTTTGACATTCGTATGGAGTTTGGTGAAATAATGTTGGCTTGGTTTAGAGATTGGCCCAACCTTTTTAAAAATATTCTATGGAGTGATGAAGCTGTATTCCACATAGGTGGATTTGTGAACCGTCATAACTGCCACTACTGGGCGGAAGAAGATCCTCGTGTTACCTGTGAAAAAATGCAAAATCGATCCAAAGTAACGGTATGGTGTGGAATTACTTTTGATAGGATTGTGGGTCCCTTCATTCTTCGCGATACCATGAATGCCGAAAGGTACCTCGCTATGTTGAAAGATGAAATTTGGCCAATTATCAGTGCTTGGGAAAATATTGAAGATTTGATTTTCATGCAAGATGGAGCTCCTCCACACTTTGCTATTGTTGTTCGTGAATGGCTAAATGCTCAATTTCCTGGAAGATGGATGGGTCGTCGCGGTTCGCCAGATGTGGCCTGCCAGAAGTCCTGACTTAACACCCTGCGACTTTTTTCTCTGGGGTTGGCTGAAAGAGGAAGTCTACTCAACCAAACCAAGAAATTTGGAAGAACTTGAGGGGCGAATACGTGAAGTTATGACTTCCATCCCGCAAGAGTTTCTTGCGAAATCAGTTGATGCGATTCCTGGTCGACTTGTGAAGCTGGTGGCAAATAAAGGCGCCCATATTGAATTTTAAATAAAAGCCCATGCATTATACTTCCTTCTCATATTCATTAATTGTAGAAATTATATTTTAAAAATAAACTATAGTTTTTTTAAAATAGGGAGTTACTTTTCAATAAGCCCATGCATTATACTTCCTTCTCATATTCATTAATTGTAGAAATTATATTTTAAAAATAAACTATAGTTTTTTTAAAATAGGGAGTTACCTTTCAATCACCCTGTACTTGCCAACTTCGCCCATAATTTTTTTTGTAGTAATTTCAAATCGGCTACTTTTTTGTAAAACTTTCCATATTCTCACCATATCCCTATCCTTGCATAGACGAAGGATGACGACCTATATTTTGTTTATACAACCTGATTAATTAGTTACGGCGAAGGGAATTGTTTATAGCGACGTATCAATGTTTGTTCCCCAGTCTACCAACATTGCGGTCCTATTGTTTGCACTCAACTTGCAGTCTTAACGAAACATCGATTATAACAATACATGTCAAGTGGGCCGTAAGAGGCGGTAAACGGAAGTTACCTCTAAGTTTTACAAATCATTTGCACATATTTCGTATGTAATTATAACAAGGATTGAAACTATAAAATTGGGGGTTTGACTAATGATACCATATTACAGAATTTGCACAATGTAAGGTCATGCACACCACTTTAAATATAAGCATAATATTCCACGAGGAACCAGGACGCCAAGATTTAGATAAATCACGAATTATCAGCGTGTCCACATTTTCTATGAATTTTTGATTTCAGATATGAATATATTTTTTTATTTGATTCAAATTGGTGATAAGAAATGGTTGCGCGAGGCTAAAAATAAGTAAAAGCGGAATTTGTTTTACAATCGGATTCAAAAGAAGGTATTTTTGTAAAAATATAATTATTTCTTCAAAATTAATTATTCGTGCTGTCATAACCGTCTCAATGAACAAGAATGCATCACGTGATGCTTTTTTGTTGTTGTCCGATAACAAACGAACTTGAGCGTGACCTGTCACTGAAAGTAGTCTTTTTTGAATAACGATTGTTGCATCACTAAAAATCGGTCACTGTTATAACATTGTATAGCATGGGCCAAGATTAAAACGAGTCTCAGCTTCACTGGCCATGCTTAAATAGACATATACAAACAACTAATTTTAGACTTGGGATATTAATACTCACGTAGTCAAGTACATCAATGACCTACGAGCCTTGAGGCCGTTATCGTACCATGAGTCATGTCATATCCGGTGTCATTTGAAAAAACATGATTTAATGTGAAATTAGGGCATAAAAAACTACTTGAAACATATTATATGTGTTCTATAAAAAAGTTACAGGAAAATGTACTTGAAATATATATCACTTGATATTAATTGAATACACTATGAATAAAAACATTATTCGGTTCCCATTTCTATATATTGAATAATATGTAGAACTTCATATTTGTTTTCACATATTTCAAACGTTAGTCGCGTAGTATATCAACAATCGTATATCGTTAAAATTTTACGACACATATTAATATTAGCTATACAGTGTATTTGACACCAAAATAGTCACGGTTTCGCGGAACACGCAGAACATACAAACATCGGGTTTCTCTTACACCGAGATCCAATAGATTTCGGAGATAAACAGAATTTCGTGGCCTATTAATTACCGCTATACTTGTTTACTAAACAAGTCCGGTATTTAATAGCGAAGATCCGCGTTAAAATACGAATGGATTGCAGTTTGACGTTAGCCGCGAGCGGTTGTAATCTCCCGTTTGTTTGTGATATATCGACTTCCAAATGATCAAAGCTAACAAACAGACTATACAGTGTGTATCCGTGCGTAAAATGCTTATACTTATTCAAGCCAATGTATTACCAATACATGAATCTTGTAAGGCGACTCCATATACACGAAATCAAAGCAAGGAATGCATTTGATTAAAACCCAACACGAAGATTCACCAATAAAAAAAACAGACTAATGCTTTATGAATTGCCCCAACCAGTCAAGAACACCATAGCCAATGATGTCATTAGATAATTTTCCATGCGAACAGTTATCTGGTTTCTATTCCCCAATACTGACAACTGTATTATAATCAGTTGGTAACATTTACATAAATTATGACGTTACACAAATCTAAGAGGCTAAATTTGATTTTGAACATAAATAGAACGGAGACGATTCCAGATTTACGTACTATCGAATAACAACACGTCGCCTAATTTGGCGTAACGAATTTTTCAACGCTTATACCCTTTGCGTGAACTCCGGGAATGCTAGTCCAGTTTAAGATAAGATAAAATATTCAAAAAACAAAAGGTGACTATTTCATTTGTTTTAAATGTAAGAAAAAAATTACCTGATTTTCATCCGAAGAACTACTAGCACTATCATTTCTCTGGCGAAAAGTACCGTACATCTCCGTAGATTCCGTTGGCCCCACTGCTCTTCCGGGAGCTTTTGGCGCCCTCCCTGAAAGCAATTAATTTGATAAGCAAACTTAAAATACTTTAAACTGCGCTTATGCTTTATTGTTGAGTGACAAACTATCGTAATTGGAAAATATTGGTATTTTTATTGAAAATAATTTTGAATGAAAATCTAAAAATAATTTCATAAGAATATTGCATCACCATTACAATAAAATTAAAGTAAAAAACGGGAAATTTATTGGTATTCAAATCTTTTTCGCCGCAATGTCATTCAACAAACTATGCTATACAAAACACACACACATTGTAAGAGGAACTTATGAATTTTTGCTATAGGAAAAATCTCACTTACCGTCAACGCTTTTACTCCTTGACATAACTCCATAGGATTCAACAAAGTTATCATGGCTCAGTTTCCTAACTTTATGTAAAGTCCTCATACCGACAATTTGTATTCCTTTGCGTGGTGTTCCGTTGGTAAGTGAAGGCACACCGCTTCCTTGCGTTGAACTTTTAAAATGAAGATTTTCGGTGCTGCGGCAGTCCGCTCGCGACAGCAAAGAAGGCCGCCGCTGGCTGAATGACACTAAGGTCGCCGTCTTGGCTTTTAGATGATAACGATCAGGAAAATTTGACCTGTCTTTTATAATACTTCGCGTTTCTTATCTTCTGTATAACGTTACGCCAATAACTGTCAAAGATTTTCAAAAATATGGAATTGGAAAATGTTGATAATTTATATAAAAATTTGACACCAATATCTCGGGTTATATCTTCGGTCATGGTTATTTAACACTGGTACAACTCTCATGTCTAAAACTAAAATGGGACAAATGTGCCAAGAGTGACACTACATTTTATGCCCAAGAACGTTACTGTCTTCGATTGGCAACAACCCGCGACCCACGTTAGAAAATCTTGATCTATCTTCAATACTCTAAAAACTAAAGCAACTAAATCTCTACTACTACTCAAGTTATTCATCGCGAAGAAGTAAAATCACTGACTGATTAACAAGTACGATAAGATTGCGTTTAACTGTACTGTTTAGGTTACGTATCGCACAACTTCTTTCACACTTCAAGAAAAAAGGGAGACCTGAACGTCTCTTGTGTTTGTTTGATCAAGCTTATAACTTGGTCCGCTGTATATCTTGCTTCTCTATCTCTATACTAACTATAAGAATGAAAACTCTTGTAAGCGACTAACGGAGAGAAAGATAACTGTTTGTCTCTGAAGCGATTTTCGCCCCGGGGAATGCAGTTATGGCGAGAGCCTGCGAGGGTGATAATTAAAATGTTCTTCGCTTTGCGACGTCACATTCACTTGCGTTATTTACTTTCGCCAATTACGATGATAAGGAATGCTATTGGATTTTATCAATGCCTACCTGCCCTATTGTCTTTCATTCAAGGGCTTACGCATTCCTTTAACGTTGCCACGTAATCTCCCCCGCCAGCTATTAAGGCTTATTGTTTATAAATTTATGTTGCCTCAGCGACCCCGACGGCTGCAACATTTTTGTTGCAATCGACTTAATCTCCGGATACTGTCTCCGATAAAGTTCCGATTTTATTTAAGACTGTACTGTTGGGTGCGGAGAAATGTTCAAATAAGCCTTTAATTGTAGTGAAAAAGAGCTAACGGTTCCCCGGCATGTATAACCAACAGAAAAAGGAAACTGACAGTTCTCCCATATTGACAAGCACTTGCACAAAACAGCGAATGCCCAAAACCGACAAAATCGCGGGTTGAATCCTTTGTTTACCAGCTTGTTGCAAGATACTTGATCCAACAATTGAACTAATGAATGAACAATTTTTCGTTCGGTAAAATAAACGCGAGTTCTATGAAGTTAGCCTACTTCCAGTCTAATGTTATGTAATGTCAATTCAATCTAATGCCAATTTAGTTTGACTTTCTCCTCCTTTAGTCAAATATTACAACTTTAATTCAATGGCATGAATGAGGAAATGAAATCTTAGCACTAAAATCGTTAGCTTAAATCTTTCTTAATCCCATTAATTAAAACTGATGAGAAACGAAAATTTAATGTAGTAATTTTGATATAAAAATTTTGTAAAACGTGACATTTTGAAACGTTATTTCCATTTTAATAAAGGCGCCAAATGGCGAAAAGTGTTCCTTTTAAATACATTAAAAAGTGCGCACTAAAGTAATACGTGGTGAGGGATAGTATTGGCTGTCCTGAACTTCTTAGTGTCATCTATATCAATTAGATTTGGTGTAGTGAAAGTAAAGTTTTAATATCCAACTCTGCAACAGCAAATTTTACCCGAAACTTACCATGGGAAATTATATACTGGAATGTTCAACGAACGTTTCGATTACATCTTTATTTAAAATTCTAGCTTTTTACCGAAACAAATGATAGGTTTTGCGTCAGTGTGTAACTATACTCTACCGTGGCGATCCTGCACCTGTAGGTCACGTAGGACATGCAATTAACAAACAGAGTATATATCTATTTATTTGCCAAGCGAGTTCGTAGTAATATGTTTCGACAAGGTATATAAGATTAAGTACAACTTTGCGGTCGAAGAACAGTAAAATGATCGTACTGCCATATATAATATTTAACACTGTACAAAATTTGTTAAAAGGCCTGTACATGGCAAAGTCAAGTATATGTGATTATAAATCTACAAGAAATTATAATATGTTTTCTTCAATGTATATATTAAAAACAAGTTCGTGAATAGACTTCACGTTATCAAAAGGATTCCGATGCACTATCTTAAATTACACTGCAGAGAAATTACCACTGACAGATATCTTCACTCTACTCCCTAACAACAACATAGATACTACTACATAAACCGAAATATGATAACGATAACAAGACATTACGAATAATACCGATAAATTATCAATCGTCAAATACACACCATGCTTAGAAACAAACATTTTAAATAACGAAATTAAATAGTGCACGATTGGCACCAGGTATATTCCCGTCGAAGAAAATAAAACAATATGTTTTAAATTGAAACTATTTTCACTTCTCTCAAATTTGGCTTTTACTCACAAATTATATAGTTTTGCTAACACCGGTTGTGTTTAATTATCCTCGAAACGAAATTTGAGTTTGATGCCAAAGAATAGTTTTACTTATATGGTGGAATATAACATAAAGCAGCGTTTATTCAATTTAAACGTAGAACAAACACATCGTCTTCCACCTTCATGGAAACTGAGAAAAAATCCGAGCTTTAGAGACTCCACTAATCTATTCATGAGGGATACTTGCTCAGATTGAAATTAAAAAAAAAAACGGAAATGGGCGGATGCTCAGTGAATATAATCATTTCAAGTTCAATAAAGCGCGAATATTATTCAATAATAGTTATTTTCAGGATATAAACACATAGATTAAAATATTTTTAAGAAAGTTAATTCATAAGAATTCCACACACAATGAATTTGTATACGCCAATGAACGATTCAAAACATGTTTGTTATCGGACGACAAATAGGATATCCATATTTTTATTTCCCGTAACATTTCATGACCGTATTGAAAACACATGAAAGAACAAAATTAACTAATATTTTATCGTTCTTACGAATCTACTTTTAACTATCAAGACTGTAAAATCCTAATTACTACATCACGAGCGGGGACCTCAGATAATTATTGACGTCCCATCCGTAGCCCACGAATAAATTTGGTCATTATTTAAAATCAGTAGAAAATATAACTTTCATGAGAATAGCACTAATTTTGATTTAGTTTGTGATAAAATAGCAGAAAGCTTTTCCTTTTCCAGGAAGTACAAAAATATGACAGGAATGTGATATCACAGAAGCTACGGACTAATTATCTTATAAATTCGTTTTTATTAAGTGCCTTGTTTGGCTTACGTCTTGACAATGAATATACCCAATAACCATAATAACAGATTCGACAATTCGGAAGCAAACAGATATAACATTTTATACAGTCCATATGTAACTTTTATATCTTCTTCTGCAAAATACACTTAAAATTCCATTCACATTATACAATAGGCCAACAAGACATATTTTCATGCCTCGATCTAACGTTTAGCAATTTATCTGGTCGTGGGATGCCCTCATGCACAAATCACGAGTTATGAATTTAATTGGGTCCTCGACAACAAATCTTAGATATTGTTCTATTTTAAATATATATTATATTCAACACAGGGAATATTTTTACTAGGATTCTGAAACTATACTTATCGCTAATAGATTCTCGGTTTAAATCACTTATTGATTCGTGATTTTTTTAAATTTCATTGCCAAAATTCACTTTTTTTAAATAGTATTTTCAACCATAACAATTCATGAGCGGCGCATGGGTTACACATTCCTTTAGTGAGAATTCCCCCATGACCTATTATCTTTATGCAACTTTGTGTACCTGCTCTGATATACAGTTATATTTTATATCTATCTGTCCTTTATACTTGGTCAAATCAGTCTCCTTACAGCTCACGTCCACGCATAGTGGATGCAATACAACTGTTAATCTCATTCTCTATTTTTGAATTGTTATGTTATTGAAAAATACAATGGCCGACCCTGCATCTGCATGATCTGACCTAAAACAATTAAATTAGGCTGAGTCTTCTGATTGAGAATCAAATTTTGTACATTTTCAAGTTTCTTACCTATCTAACTAATCAAGAAATACGCTAAAATCTTATTGTGTTTTATGCCTATGCTCTATGCCTGAAATTTTATGAGCAAAACGTTCGCGTGTTAGAATAATTCGTGTCCCCAAGACTTTCAATTATTCAAAAGCTTTCATTCGCTAAATGCCTTAAAATTTCATAGTCGTAAAGCCCAAAGTTTCGTTATCTCGCGCCAAAAATATTTCCTCGAATAACTCTTCCGCGTAATTGTTTATACACGACAATCTCCTAAATAAGGCCAAATGAACTATACTTGATCGAGTATGGTACATTGATATCTCATTTTTAACAATTACGACCATACATGATTAATACGAAGCAAAACCGATTACCATATGTACTCATTCTAGTGAGATATATACCCTGTTAAAAAAACTGTGAATACATTACAATTTTAGCGATATTTCTCATCTGGTATTTGTTAATACTCGCTGTATTGACCCTTCCCCTCAGATATGCTTTGTGTCGACTATAACCGGCCGGATAAGTAAGTCTTTGTTTAACATATCCACTAAGCGACGGCGCAGTAAATATTAGGAAATTTTGCTTCGTTTTTATAAAAGAATACGAATTGATATCGCATTCAAGATGTGACCTACTTTCTCAAATTCCGATCCAATTTGTTGATTTTCCACAGACCGTTAGAAACTCAAACCGCTCTTCACGTCATATGAAGTGTTCAAAATCTGTCTGAAGGCGCGAAGAAATCATATATTATCCTTCTTCAAATGGGTATTGAACGCCGGTCCCATACGGTTCACAGCGTACAATTGACAACATCATAAATTACCATTCAAACAAAAACAACGTTCACATGGTCTATATCTTTCTCGCATGTAAATCCTATACACCGCCGTACAAACCTCCCTGTTACACTGCAGCAATGATTCCATATTCAGATGGATTGGCAACTGATTTTAATTAAAAATGGCGTGATCACACCAGTTCTGGCCAGCTTCATGCAATAATCTTCAACAGTCAGTACTGAGGCACGAAGTAGTCATCCTAACTGCTTATTATAATATTAAAACAAATGATAACTTGTTTTATACACAAGAATGTTTACAATATATCACGGTTCTTAATTGTCGAGGGCAACTCGACGAAGCCTAAATCTTTCAAGGTGTG